GTGTCTCTGCTCTTCATTTTCCATGGAGGAGGAGACCGATCAAAGGGAAGATTGGCTGGCGTTAGAAGTGAAATCGAACGATCGTTCCACTTTACTACGTTATTACGCGTGGTTTGCCGGTGTTCGAGACATCTCACGTGCATCGAATGGATTCCATGGATCGCGATCGCGTTCGATTTCCTCGATCGTTTCCGAAGGTGAGAAAACTCTGCCCCCCCGGCGAAGAATCACGCATGCAAATGACATGTATCTGTGTTAGCCGCGATCGTGCTCGTTAATTAATTCTTCTAGGATGTAACAACTGTCTTCAAGGTCTCCGCACTTTTGTCCAAGAACGTTAGACACGCGCGTGTCCTCGCTGTTGCCGAACGTGCCAGAACGATCGTCCTGAGATCGTTAACGCCGCTCGAGTTATGACGATGGAGTTACACGAGCCTGCAGCTTTTCGAAGCTATAAACTGCGCGTTCTCGAATCTGCATGCTTCTCGATCTATCTCTGAATGACTATCCTGATCGTGTTGAAGTTCCTTAATTGCCGATTTATTCGAGCACGAAATTCGTAAGTGAAACAAGTCTCTTCTTTTCTTTCCTTTGTTCGTATGTTCGTACAATTTCTTCAATTACGCAAAAATATAAAATTGCACGATCACGAACAGCTGCAGTTTAATAATCGTGTTTCTGTCTAGATAAAAATAAGAATAGTCTTCAGTGATTGCGGAAACAAAAAGATCTGCTGCCATTCTGTTATATTTTGACTGGCCCGGTAGTTTTCTCTTTCGGGATTGAATGAAGAAGTCCTTGACTCAAAGGATTCGTGTTGCTTAGAGTCAAGGTTAAAGTGGTTCTTACAAAGTTCCACGGATTTATTAGTTGTGTTTGAAAGACTCGTGACTTTTAAAGAGATCTTTTCAAACGCAACTTAATCGTCAGGTAACTTTAGAAAGAAGAGATCAACAGAAATGGATTTACAATGATTGTAGAAATCTCTAATGTTTTTCTTTTGATAAATCGATAATGTTAATGTGAAATGATCAATACTTTTTTCCACAAAGAAGTATTCTTAAAGGACTTTGTGATTTTTTTTTATTACTATATTAATTTTTACTATATTAATTTTTTATATACTATTTTTTATATACTATTCTTACTATATACTATTTTTTATATACTATTCTTACTATATTAATTTTTTATATACTATATTAATTTGTTGACTCGATATATTTTAGTCGTAGCATATAAGCTCCATTAGTATCATCGGCCCATTGTATCTTGTACTTAACAAGTCACAGTTTCTACGAAATATTTAACAAATCACTTATTCTTGTTTGTTCTAGCATGAACGCTGAACGTTTAGTAACTGAATCAACTAAAGAGAAAGAAATTGACGTGCATGATATATTAAGGATTTTCAAGAAATTCTAAGAGATATTTTCATATATTTTACAAATATTATTTTAGTTTGTTTTCTCTATACTTCTTGCTCCATTTTATTGCAATTAGCAACGAAGTTTACGGAAAAATCATTCGTGATAATTATTAAAATATACAAACGTAGAATACGAATGTAGATAATTATCGATAAAAACAAATAAGATATGAATTAAAATTATGAAGACGAAAATGATCGTCTAATAAGTACAAATACACTCGTTTAACAGATCATTATTGCTCGTGACATTTAACGATGCTCGTTATCTCGACAGACTTATTAGCGTTCAGATTATAATTAAACTTGTCGTGAGAAGAAGTAAAAGGATCGAGCAGTCACGAAGAAATGGTACCTCGAACGAAGGGAGAATCAAAGTTTTCCTTCGTCAGATGATGTTCACTTTTCGAGAAAGTCTGTCTAATTTCACGATATAATTCCCTGTGAATTCCGTCTCCACTCGAGATTTAAAAATTCAATAGAAATTTCTTTAACAAGTACGAGAAGTATCATCCTTTTCTTTCATTCTTCGCGAAATAATAAATGAAAATTAACAGATACGGAAAGTATCTGAACACTTTTGAAGCCTTATGTGAAACATTTAAAAATTTTATTATAAATCAGAGTCGAATGTCGCGATTAAATTGGCAAAAAATTTCGAAACAAATCTTCAGATGTACTCTTCCGGTCGAAAATTTGAAATTCTTTGTCTGTCAAAAAAGCGTAGGAAAAAAACTAATGTAACAAATAAAAATATACATATTATCACGACATTAGCGAAATTTCAAA